GAGGGTACAACGGAAACATTCAACGACATAGAGACGAAAAGTGACAAATTCATCCACGAATGTGCCCCCATACCCACCATGGAGCCACAATTAGAGGCAGGACACCCAACAGGAAGCTATCGCTGATCATGCCGGGGCCCCCTAGGGGTGCGTCGTGAGTATACGCCCCACAAACGCCACCTTAAGAACCGTCAGTCCGTCGAGATCGGGTTCAGCGACGAAAGGGGGATTGACAATAAAAGGTTCCCCTCGCTCGAGACGTTGGGTACTACAGTTCTACGGGTGCAAGAGTATGCCTCCTCAAGCACCCGGGCGTCAAAATAGGAGTCCAAAGAAATAATCCAAAACAAGCAAAAGGTCGGCAGGAAACGACAAGCAGATAGGAGAAGAGGGGGGAGAAAAACGAAACATAAGGAAAAGGAAAAGCGATCCGGCACAATTAGAGAAGACAGCAGCAGGAGTGCAAGGCCAGAAAAGGACAGAGGACTGCCCCACGGAGCATCACACTCCGGCAGCCGTCCACCAAGCCCCCTCACGACGCCAACGGACTGGATGGGGAGGGGGGGGGGGGGGTTCGCCAGGACCGGTGAGACATCGGGAACGAACTTACCCGCAATCTTGTGGATACGCTTCCAGACCAGTGGGAGAGGAGTTTCGGACGTAACGGTGGAGACATAAGACGCCCAGCAAGCACGTTTAGCTGCACGGATGGTCCTACGGGCCACCGCACTCGCCTTCCGAAACAAAAGAAAAGACTCAACCGTCTGCCAGCGGCGAAGTTTCTTCCAGGCTGCATGCTTTCAGCGAACAGCCCGAGCACAGTCCATATTCCACCAGGGAACGCACTTCCGCGTTCCCCGAGAGGAAGAGCGAGGAATAGAGTGGAGGGCAACGTCAAAGACAGTGTCATGAAAAAGAAGGAGGGCGCGAGGGAGAGGCAGATCGGAAGAGGTCGGAAATAGTAGCACGGAGAGTAAAGAGGCGCCAGTCAGCCTTTGCAAACTGCCACCTAGGGAAGGAGAGAGGAGGGCGAAAAGAGAAAAAAAAACAAGGATAGGAAAATGGTCACTGCCATTGAGGTCATCAAGGACCCGTCACCTGAAATCTAAGGAAAGGGATGACGAGCACAGAGAAAGATCGAGACAAGAAAGGGAGCGATTCCGAGAATCCAAATGAGTGGGCTCACCAGAATTAAGAAGGGACAGGGAAGAAGAGAGGATGAAGGATTCAAGGAGGCGACCCCAGGTGTTCGTCAGCACATCACCCCAAAGGGCATGACAACAATTGAAATCCCCCAGCAGGAGCACAGGCTCCGGCAAGGAGTCTAGGAGATGTTTAAGATCGGGAAGAGAAAGTGGGACAGTGGGGGGGAGATAAATGGAACAAACCGTGTACCACCTACGCACAAAGACACGGGCGGCAGAACAGTGGAGAGACCAGGAAAAAAGTAAGGGGACAAAGGGAACATCTGAACGAATCAAGAGAGCAGAAGAATTATGGACTCCAGCTGTCGCTGGGGAGGGGGGGGGGAGAGAAAAGAATAGCCACGGAAGCGACCAGGACGAGCACCAAGCATCGGCTCCTGGAGACAGACACAAAGGGGCGAAAACTGTAAAATGAGAAGTTGGAGGTCAAGGAAATTGGCGTAAAATCCACGGATGTTCCATTGAAGAAAAGACATCAGCAAAGAGAGAGAGGAGAGTAACAGAGAGCGAAGAAGAAACAAAGGTGAGGAAGGAACACAGCACGCTAAAAAAGCACAGAGTCAGGAGCAGGGTCAGCGAAGTCAGGGTTAGGGGGCATGGGTAAACTGAGTAAAGAAGGAGGGAAAGAAGCGGGAGGACAGACCAGTGGTGGACGAGTAGGGACTAGAGGAGGAGGAAGGGGAGGACGAGGGGCAGAAAGAGGGGAGTGTACCTCAGCAAGGGCAGTAACCGAGATGGAACTGGGGATTAAAGAAACCCCCACAGTAGGAACAGGGGGCTCCACCACCGAACCGGGAGGTGAAGGAACGATAGAATCAGAGATAGGGGGTGAAGAAGAAAGCGAAGCCTTCTTACTGACAGGGGAGGAGGAAGGAGAGGAGCCAGGTTTCCGCTTCTGACTCAAAGATACGGGCGTCCCAGCAGCAATGTACTGGGCAACAGACTCCAGCGTCTCGATAGAAGAAGAAGAGCGAGAGCGAGCAACACAACCATCAGGAGAGCGATGGACGTCGGCCCGCACAGTCAGGCGGCGTGGAGAGCCAGGAGACGGAGGAGAAGGACGGGAAGGAGGACTAGAGGGAGAGGAAAAAGAAGACACAGGAGACGTGACAGACTGGGTAGAAAGAAGGGGAGCCCTAGACAGAGAACCAGGAGGGGGACCCTTCGGAACAGAACGGAGGGAAACAGGGGAGGTGGTGGTGGGCGTGTCCGGGTCTAAGGCTCGGAAACGGTTGTGAGACTGAGAAAGGTGGGAAGGACGAGGAGAGGAAGAGCGCACCACGCGAGCATAGGAGACACCAGCGAGAGAGGGGAGACGATGAACTTGGCGTTGAGCATCAGGAAAAGACAAACGGTCTCAGTGCTTCAAGCTGAGGACAGCCGCCTCAAATTTGTAACGAATACACGCAAGGGAGAAAGTAGGGTGGGCCTCACCGCAATTGAGGCAGCGGGCCTGGGAAGAAGTGCACTCCAACTTAGAGTGACCCTCGCTTCCACACAGGGGATAGAGAGAGACAGGACTGGAGCATTTCAGGGTACCATGCCCAAACCTTCAGCACTTACCGCAGAGCCTCGGAGAGGGAATATATTCCTGAACGGAGCATCTGACACCAGCAAGAATGACAGAGGGTGGAAGGGTCCTACCATCAAAGGTAACCTTCACATCCCTAAGGGGCAGACGGCGATGACCACGAGGGGGGCGAGTAAATGTATCCACCTGGAGTACAGAATGACCCTGAGCCTCGAGGATATGCTTGATATCCTCGTGGCAGTCCTTGAGAGCCCTAACACCGGTCGCAACATGGTGCGGGAGGAGAACAGTGCCAACACTGGCATTCAATCGGGCGTTCTTCGAGACCCGAACAGGGGTCTCACCAAGGCAGGATAAGGCGGCCAAGCGGGTGGCCGCATCCTGAGAAGGAGCAGCAACGACACGGGTACCAAGACGAGTGGGGTTGAAGGTGACAGAGGCATCCACGGAATTGACAAGATGCCTATGAAGGGAAAAATCATCAGGAGGAGTTGAATCCAAAGGTAGGAGGTCAAAGTATTTAGTCCACGTATCAGGACCAAACAAAGCATGGAACGAAGTAGGATGGGAAGGGAGCATACAAGAGCGGCCATGGCGGGTAGGGCGATGAGAACCCTTAGAGAGAGACGGGTCGAAAGGTGCAGTAGTCACAAGAAGAGATGGAGCCGTGCAAGGGGACGAGACAGTCACCACAGCAGGCTTGGGGCTCGACCCAACCACAGAGGAGGGAGGGGGAGCAGGGAGGAAGAGTCCGGTCTGGGCCTTAACCGGGTCCTGTAGCGGGGGCTACAGATCCCGGTCTTCCAGGACGGTCTGACTCAGGGGCCTGGTCGCCCACCCCATGAGCCTTGGGAATAGAAGGCAAGTCGTTATCCATACAGCAAACCAAACAAAAGAGATGGGACCTGGAACCAAGGGATACCACCTACCAGGGCAGCCAGGGAGGCCGAGCGCGGGCCAGTGTAGGAAGGGTGTGTCGTCCCCAGCGGTGCTCCCCCTTTTCAACAGGGGAGTCCTACTACTTCGTTCATTCTCCCACACTGGTGCTAAGACCACAGTCCCCCTATCGCCCCAGCCTGGACACCCAACATCCACTCAGGGCCGCCTCTCACAGGCGACCCCTCCAGCAGGGGGTCCGATGGCTCACAAGGCCATGGGGCCCTTCAGCACGTACACCACCCAAAGAGGGGGCAGGAGAGGGGGCACAGGCAACCCACACCGGTCCCAGGGAGGTGTACGTGAGCCCCTCACCACGGCAAGGAGGCACCATGGAGGGGACACTGTTGAAAACAGGCAGAGAGAGTGGCACCAAGCCTGACTCGAAAGGTACGACGAGAAAGAAAGCTTTGAAGGAAGAGAGGGAGATTACCACGAAAGCCAAAAGAACTAAGTTGGGACAGAATATGGTATCTCCAAGTCATGTCATAAGCCTTTTCCAGGTCAAAAAGGACAGCAACAACGGAGGTCTTCGCAGCAAAAGCAGTACGAATATGGACCTCCAAGTTCACCAGGACATCAGTCGTGCTGCGGCACTTGCGAAAACCAAATTGAGAAGGAGAGAGGTAGTGATGGTGTTCCAAGAACCACATCAGACGGACATTTACCATACGCTCAAACAGCTTGCAAACACAAACTTTCAGACAACGCCATCCGAAGGGACCTGGAAGGAACTACGGCAGAAGGTAATGAACATCCTAAGACCACAGGCCCAGACACAGGGGCAACAACTAGCTACACCCCGCTCAGTCTTACGGCCGCTCCCTGACGACGAGATTGGTACAAGCCAACAAACCCAGGTACAGTCTTTAGCCCCACCTAAAAACCCGGGGCAGCAGTCTACACAGCCTGGCAGAACGACATCTCAATCCCAGACTCAGGTAGCTCAACCCCAACTACAGACAAAAGTTATTCAACCCCAAGTACAAACCGAGGTGGCAGCCCAGGCCCCCCAGCAGCCTCCACCCTGGCCTTATGCTCAACCCCCAGCAGGGTTCCTACCCTATGCCCACAACCCCTACTTTCAACCCTATGCCCAACAACCCGGGCCATACTCTAACCAGAATTTTCAAGGTCCGCCCAGACCCCCCCACAGGGGCAGACCTGGGAGGAGCAGGGGCAGGGACAGGGGCAGGGGCAGGAACAGAGTGTCCATACAAGGCGCCGGAAACGGCACCGGGTGGAACTATGGAGGAGGGCAAAACGAGACCTCAAACGGGCCAATATCAAACGGGCAAAAAAAAAAAAAAAAAAAAAAAAAAAAAAAAATGGTGGTATCCGAGGTCCCTCTGAGCACCATAGAGAGGGACCTCTTGAGTAGGGGCCTGTCCTTTGTGATTGGGCCCTCTACAGAACCCAAACGAGTACAGGCAGTAGAGGAAACCCTCTCACACCTAGAGACACAGATTAACAAGGCATGGAGCAAACTCAGGTCAGGGCCACAACCCCACCAAGAAAGGAAACAACAACCCGAGAGATCGCTTTCAATGAAATACCTGAATCCTGCCTCAGTTCAAGGAAACACCACTTTCAATTTAAATGGACTTCACCCACAAATCCAGGCAACCCTGGAAAGCCTTAAAACACAGGTAAAACAGAGAACCCGTGGTAACCTTACAAAAACACACAGGGAGGCGCTACGCGCCCTTAAGGCTCGCCCAGACATTATAATTAAACCCGCGGATAAAGGCGGTACTGTAGTAGTCTGGAGAAAAACGAACTACACAAAGGAAATGGTAAGGCACCTCTCAGACGAGACGACTTACCAAAAAATACAGCAAGGCCAAACAGCCCTGGAGAACGCCAGGACAAGGAGTAGAAACCTGGTCCTGAAATTCTTTAACAATAAACAAGCAAACTCAACAGGAGGTATACTTAGCTCAGCAGCAAGAGACTATTACCTTGCCTTTAAAGCAGAGCTTCCGAACCTATACCTCCTTCCTAAGATTCATAAAGATTTACACCCTCTTACAGGTACATGGCAGGGCAGACCAGTCCTTAGCGGTTGCAAAGCACCAACTCGCCCAATTGATTTGATCTGCACAGCATTACTAAACCCCCTTCTCTCTCTTTTAGATGAACGTCTGAAAGACACAACTGATCTTTTGCTGAAACTGAGGGATTTGAATGCAAGCAGAGGACCCGTCCCAGAGAACACGACCCTGTTCTCCCTTGACATAGTCTCCCTCTACCCAAGCATCCCCCAACGGGAGGCAGCGAGATTGGTCTCGACGTACTTCGACGACCATAAACACCTCATACGCCAGCCCCTCAGAGATGCAGGAGTTTGGAGGCCCCCATCAAGGGCTCTCCTGGAGGAAGCGATTCTGCATGTCATGAGGGATACAATTCTATCCTTCAATTCAGCAGCGTACAGACAAGTAAAGGGAACGGCAATTGGAGCATCAAGTAGTGTGGCTATAGCGGAAATCTTTGTTCACGTGGCCTTTGAGCACCAGAGAGCACTCCGCCCAGATAAACCAGACGTGTACTTCCGTTATATTGACGATATTTTCGGTATAATGACTGGACAAGACACACTCCTCCAGTCTTTCTACGCCTGGACAAATACAGCCTACGAAAATCTGAAGTTCACCTTGGAGCAGAGTAAAACAGAGATAAACTTCCTGGATACGACAGTGTTCATTGGCAGTGAGGACAGGCTCCTTCACACGAAGGCCTACTACAAGCCCACGAACCTGCACACGTATCTACGATACGACTCCAGTCACCCCTCCTCCTTGAAGAACTCCTTACCCTACTCCTTAGGTCTACGTTTGAAGAGGATAAACAGCCTTGAAGACACACTTGCTACTCAACTTCTAGACCTCTGGGACATGTTCTCAGCCAGAGGATACCCAGAACGAGTAATAGCAACGGCTAAAAACAAACTAGACCTGAAGACGAGGTCAGAGCTCCTCATACAGGCCTCCACTCCAGACCCTCAGTCGAGATGGATCCTCCCATCGCTGTATTTTAACGGCCTAGCAAGCCCTCTCCATAATGCCCTGACTGACATCTGGAACTGGCTGAGAAACACCTATGGGGACCACCCTTCTTGGCCTAGGTTTGCCCAAACACCTCCAATGCTGGCCTGGAGACGAGGAAAGTCACTTAAGGATCATCTAGTACATTCCTGCCTCCACAGGACACACTGCCTTTAACCGAACCTGACACAGACCGATGGTGCAAGAGAATACCCCTGGTTCCCTGGGTTGGGGCCACGAGGTTGAGAGGGCCCCCACAACACAATGCCTAGGCTCAAATCCTTAGGAGACGTACCGAGAGACCCTAGTTTTCGAATAGGGAGTACAACGGCATCGAGCCAGTCCTCAGGGACGGACGACGACTCCCAGACCTGGTTATACAGATTCAGTAAATACTGAAACATGCACTGAGGGAGATGGCGAAGCATCTCATAACGATCGTCATCCGAGCCCGCTGCTGTAGATCCGCAGAGGGCCAGGGCAGACTGAAGTTCAGAAAGAGAAAGGATCGTTATAGGGAAGGCAGAGATGAGTGTGGAAATCTAAAGGAGAAGATTCAAGAACAGGCTTACGGAGAAGGAAGGATTGAGGAAGATGAGAACCAGAGCTAACAGAAGAAACGTGGGAACCCAGTTCGGCCGCGAACTGCACTAGATCCACCACAAGAGTCCCACGGAGGTAGAGAACCGGCGACACATCTGGAACGAACTTGCCCGCAATCTTGCGGATCTTCTTCCAGATCTGCGGTAGAGGAGTATCGGACGTAATGGTGAAAACATAAGATTTCCAACTCCCACGTTTAGCAGTACGGATGGTCCTACGGGCCACCGCACTTACCTTCTGAAACAGAATAAAAGAAATAGCCGTCTGCCGGCGGCGGAGTTTTTTCCAGGCTGCACGCTTACAGCGGACAGCCCGAGCACAATCCGCATTCCACTAGGGAACGCACTTCCGTGTGCCCCGGGAGGAAGAGCGAGGAATAGAGCAGAGGGCAACGTTGAAGACAGTGTCCTAAAAAAGGAGGAGGGCGCAAGGAAGAGGCAAAGAGGAGAGGTCAGAGAGTAGCACAGAGGGTGAATAGGCACCAATCAGCCTTGGCAAACTGCCACCTAGGGAAGGAAAGAGGAGGGTAGAAAGAGAAAAAGAAAACGAGGATGGGGAAATGATCACTGTTATGGAGGTCATCAAGAACCTGCCACGTGAAATCTAAGTAATGGGACGACGAGCAGAGAGAAAGATCAAGACAGGAAAGGGTGCGAGTTCGAGAATCTACATGTGTGGGCTCACCAGAATTCAGAAGAGATAGAGATGAAGCGAGGACAAACGGTTCGAGAAGACGGCCTCGGGTGTTTGTCAGAACATCACCCCAACGGGAATGTCGACAGTTGAAATCACCCATAAGGAGCACCGGCTCTGGCAAGGAGTCCAGGAGGTGCTTAAGATCATGAAGGGAAAGAGGGACACTGGGAGGGCGATAAATGGAACAAACTGTATACCATTTACCCACAAAAACACGGGCAGCAGAGCAATGGATAGGGGACGGAAAAGTAAGGGGACGAATGGGGAATATCAGAACGAATTAAGAGAGCAGTAGAGTTATGGGCCCCAGCAAGAGCTGGGGGGGGGGGGAGAAAGAAAGGAATAACCACGAAAGTGACCAGGACGAGCACCAAGCATGGGTTCCTGGAGACAAACACAAAGTGGTGTAAACTGTGTAATGAGAAGTGGGAGTTCATGGAAGTTGGCATAAAATCCACGAATATTCCACTGAAGATTAGACATTATCAAAGAGAAGGGACAGTAACAGAGAACAAGAAAGAAATAAAGGTAAAGAACACAGTGTATTAAAGAATCTCAGGATCAGGGTCTGGACCAGGAGCAGGGTCGGCAAAATCAGGATTAGGGGGCATGGGTAAACTTAGTAAGGAGAGAGGGAAGGGAGTGAGAGAACATACCAGAGGCGGACTGACGGAGTCCGGAGGAGGAGGAGACAACTGAGAGGGGCAGGTAAGGACAGTTGGAGGAGGGGGGGCAGAAAGCAGAGAGTGCACCTCAGGAAGGGCAGCAACAGAGAGGGAATCGGGGGCGGAAGAAACCTCCATATCAGAGACAGGGGGTTCGACTACGGAAATGGGAGGGGATGTAGTGACAGAGTCAGAGGGAGGGGGTGAAGAAGAAAGTGAAACCGTCTTACCCGCCGAAGAGGAAGAAGGAGAGGAGCCAGGCTTACGTTTCTGACTCGATGAGACAGGCCCGGTAACAACGTACCGGGCGACAGACTCAATGGTCTCAGCAGGAGAAGAGGAACGAGAGCGAACAACACGAAGGTCGCTGGGAGGATAATGGATATTAGCCTGGACCGACAGGTGGCGTGGCGGGTCAAGAGAGTGGGGGGAGGGTCGGGAAGAAAGAGTGGGGGAAGATGGGGAAGAAGACAAAGGAGACATGGCGGACTGGGTAGGAAACGGGGGAAATCCCAGATGGAGAACCGGGAGGGAGACCATCTGGGACAGGAGGCAAAGGAATAGGGGAGGAGGTGGTGGGTGTGGCCGGGTTTAAGGCCTGGAAACGGTTGTGAGACTGAGGAAGACGGGAAGGACGAGGAGAGGTAGAACGCAACACGCGAGCGTAGGAGACGCCCGGAAAAGGGGTGAGACGACGAACTTGGAGTCTCGCTTCAGGAAAAGACAGACGATCACGGTGTTTCAGGTTGATGACGGCTTCCTCGAGTTTGTAGTGCATACACGAGCGTGAGAAGGTAGGGTGGGCTGCACCGCAATTGAGGCAGCGAGCCTGGGGAGAAGCGCACTCGGACTTAGAATGACTATAGTCCCCACACAAGGGGCACAGGTACAGAGTACTGGTGCATTTGAGGACACCATGCCTGAACTTCCAACACTTATTGCATAGTCTAGGAGAGGAAATGTACTCTTGAACGGAGCATCTGGCACCAGCAAGAATAAGTAAGTAAGTAATTATCAAAAGAAGGCACCTTACCGGGAAGGCTATGTAGCACCATCAAATGCGCAGAATAATCAGAGGGCGCTAAATATCACCAAGGATGCCAATACAAGAACAAAAACGCATAAGGGGAACGATATCAAAAGTATCCGATTCACCAAGAATTCTATTGAGGGACAGGTGACAGCGAGGGGCGGTCGGAAAGCAAGACACACGCTCGTCCTGGAAGTCAGGACATTCAAGAAGGACATGCACAACCGTAAGAGGGACAATGCAACTAGGACAATAAGGAGCAGGGCGGCGCTCCATCAAGTGACCATGGGTTAAGTGAGTATGGCCAATACGCAACCTCGCCAGAGCTGTTTCCCATCGCCGGTTACGGTGGTAGGAGGACGGCCACGAGGAAACACAACATTTAAGAGTACGAAGTTTGTTACCAGTAACAGACGACCAAGAAGCCTGCCAACGGGTATAGACGGAGGAATAAATAACCGGGTAAAAGTCGGAATATGGAATACCTTTACGAGAGATGGGACAAGAGTGGACAGCTTCCTTGGCGGCAGCATCTGCACGCTCATTTAAAGACACACCAATATGGCTGGGAACCCAACAAAACTCAACCGACTTAAATTTACTGCGAACAAGAAACAGCCAATGCTGGATCTCGACAACCACTGGATGAACTGGATTAAAGGACCCGAGAGCCATGAGGGCACTACAAGAGTCAACAACAACTACAAAGGAAGACTGACAACGAGAAAGCAGGAAACGAAGAGCATAGAGAATAGCATAAAGTTCCGCTGTAAAGATGCTAGTCTCCGGAGGCAAGCGACACATATAAGTGCGATCAGGAAAACCAACGGAGTAGCCAACACCGTCCGCTGACTTAGACCCATCGGTGAAGACAGAAACGGAGCGGGAGTGAGAAGAAAAGTGCTCGAGGAAAAGGCGTTTTAGAACCGTAGGAGGGGTAAAAGCTTTAGTGATACGGGTCAAGGATGTACAAAACCGCGGAAGAGGGACTCTCCACGGGGGCAAAGAAGGAACAACACGAGGAGAAACATCAGAAATACGAACGGAAAGAGAATCCTGTAGGCGAGATAACCGGACAGAAAGAGGGAGGTGGTGAAGAGGAACAGGAACCACAGGAGGGGTAAAAGTTAAAGCACGACAGAGGCGAGAGGAAGGATGTTGCAAGGACCGCGCAAGATAGCGAAGACAGTAGCGATCACGGCGGTCCTGGTGGGATAGGAAGCCAGTGTCAACATACAAGCTAAGGACGGGAGTCGAACGAACGGCACCAGAACTGAGGCGCAACCCAGTATGGTGCAAAGCATCAAGACGGCGAAGAGTAGAAGGAGAAGCAGACGAGTAAGCAGGGCAACCATAATCGAGCTTAGACAGGACGAGAGAGGAATGTAAAGCAAGGAGAGTGCGCCTATCTGCCCCCCAAGAAGTATGGGACAAGACCCGAAGGAGGGTAAGGGCCTTAGAGCACTCAACACGGAGGTAAGAGATATGGGGAGACCAAGACAAACGAGTGTCAAGGAATAACCCCAAAAGCTTCGCGGAATCTTTGTATTCAAGGGGATGACCATAAAGTGACAAAGAGGGACGAAGAACGACCCGTTTCCGCGTAAAGTCATGGCACAAGTCTTAGAAGTAGAGAACTTGAAGCCATGATCGGTGGCCCAAGACGACACGGCATCAATTGCAAGTTGAAGCCGGCGCTGAAGGAGAGGCGAATCATCACCCTGACAACAAAGGGTAAGATCATCGACATAGAGAGCGGAGAAGACACCAGAAGGAAGAGAGGAAAGAAGACCATTGAGGGCAACCAGAAAAAGAGTAGTGCTCAGAACACTACCCTGGGGCACACCTTCGTATTGCTGAAAAGAGGGAGAGAGAGCAGTACCAAGGCGCACCCGAAAGGAACGACGAGAGAGGAAGCTGCGGAGAAAGAGAGGAAGATGACCACGAAGGCCAAAAGAATGAAGTTGAGATAGGATATGATACCGCCAAGTGGTGTCATAAGCCTTTTCCAGGTCAAAAAGGACGGCAACAACGGAGGTCTTCGCAGCAAAAGCAGTACGAATATAGACCTCCAAGTTCACCAGGACATCTGTCGTGCTGTGGCACATGCGGAAACCAAATTGAGAAGGGGAGAGGAGGTGATGGTGTTCCAGGAACCACATCAGACGAACGTTAACCATACA